TGTGTATGTGGCTGAGGTGCTGCCGCTCGACGTCCGCGACCTCCGCGGCGACGCGGTCGCGCTCCCGCGCCATGGCCTCGCGCTCGACGTCCATGGCCGCGAGCGCCGCGGCCTGCTCGCTTTTTAGTTCTTCGAGGCGCACGCGCGACAGGCCCGCGAGCTCGCGCTGGAGCTTTTCGCGCTCCGACGCCATGGCCAGCTCCTTCTGCTTGCGCCGCACGAGCTCCTCCTCGAGGGCCGTCAAAGCCTCGCCGTCGCCGGCGTCGGCCGTCGTCTTGATGCGCATCTTCGCCATGACGCCGGCCTCGACGGCCATGGTCGGGGGCAGCCTTATTCACGCTCCATCGGCAGTTCAGCACCGGTCAGGTTTGCAGTGCTTCGCAAAGATGCTCATGGTGCCGTTCGGTCAAGTTTCGGTGGAAGAAGGCGTGTAAAAAACGACGCCTCCGATATATTTCGACCGAGGGATCGGGTGGGTCGCAAGACCCGAGGCGGCCGGGGCACCATCGAGTTCAAGGTCCGGCCTATTCAACCTCATGGGCCGTGCGACATATCGCCGCCAGCCGTGCAGCGGCACCCGCCGGTCTCGCAGCCCCCGTCGCATCAAACGCCGCCGGCGTCCGTCGCGCGGCGCGGCGCTGCAACACCGCCACCGCGGCCATGGGCAGCCCCCAGCGGCCCGGCGGGCCCGAGCCGCGGCCGGCCCGCGGCGCCGCGCCCTTCGCGCCGCGGCCCGCGCCGGAGCCCTGGTCGCCCGCGGCCCCGAGCAGGACGGCCCTCGTGCTGCTCGTCGGCGCGCACGTGGCCTCTGAGAGCGACCTCGCGGAGCTCCGGGCGTGCCTCGCGCGCGTCGCCGGCGAGCAGGTCGCGGCGCCGACGGCCGTCGCCGTGAGCTGGAGCGCGGCCGACGACGGCCTGCGGGCCGCCGCGCGCGAGGACCTCGCGCCGCCCGACGACGGCGGCGCCTTCGCGTTCTTCGCGACGGAGCGGCGGCGGCCGGCGACGGCCGCGGAGCACTACGCGGGCCTCTGCGAGGGCCTCGCGGGCGCGAGCGACGACGATCGCGACGTCTGGGTCTACGTCGCCGACGTCGCGTGCGGACGCGCGGCGTCTCGCGCTCGTCGAAAAGCGCGGACGCCGTCCCCCCCTAGGTCCATTGCGCACCCGCGGCGCACGCTCGAGCTCGGCCGCGCCGTCGCGCTGGCGCCGCCGGCCTTCGACGCCGTCGCCGCGCCCTGGCGCGCCGTCGCGCCGCGCGGCGCCGAGCCCCGCCGCGCCGCGGACGTCGACGCGCTCGTCGCGGCCTGTGTGGAATTCAACCGCTGGTTTGGGCGGTCCCGACCAAACTTGAGAATTCTCGAGCTCGGTCACAT